TTTCTGAATTATTAGTAAAAAAACAATTGTTTCGAAAGATTCACAACTTTTTAAATGCAGACTATATTGTATGAGATAAAATTCAATTTGATTCTACGGCAAACTCGTATCTTTTTTTCATCCTTATCTAAAGATAAAAAGGATGGGATTAACCCTCGAAAGTGTAGGAATATTTTTTTCTAAGTTCGATTCAGTGGTGGGCGTCCAACGATTAAGACGATCGGTAAAGTCGCGGTGGTAGTCTCTGGGCAACACGAAAATTCTCTGCTTAGTTGAAATAAAACACTTATAAACAGATTCAATTAGTATATGTATGTGCCATCGAGAATATGAAAAAAATTATACATGTTTTAATTTGTTCGCTTCTCTTATCATTTTATTATATCGTTAAAAGGGTGTTAATGTAAAATGTGGATATTAAAAATGTATAAAAATGTTCATTGCTCTGAAGCGGTGCAACTTCGTTGAAGTAAACGAGAAACTCGCCTGACCGTGGTTATGTAGCTTCGGACCAGTTGGACGTCTCCCGCTGGCTATGGCGTGTCGGGGTGGTTGCAACAGGTTGTTGCTGTACCAGCACCATCGCCAGTACCAGCGGCTTCTTTTTGGTCCACCAAGTATACGGCTTGACTAAACAGCCACGGAACGAACTATCGTTTCGGGACAACGTTTAGGGAATCCTCATATAATTACCTACCCGAATACTTTCTCCGGGGGACCAAAGTCGAAGGTGATCGTGGTACACGGCACCGCTTCAAAATTAATGTATTCACGACCGACCTTTTCATCTGTACGATTGCTCAAATCGAAATCACTGATACTTTTTTAGTTTTGTTCGATATCGTCTATTGATGATAAGGAGCATATCTCTTTATCTCGTATTATCGCTCTTAAAGGAGAACGTTACCTCCATCAAAACACGTGCATGTTTAGTTTCTGTAACATGATTCTGTGTACGGTCAGCCAGGAATAGGTATAGTAGCGGCTTCGAAGAAACTTCTAATCAACCTAACTCTTCTCCTATTTACTCAAGATTTAGCTGACTTTTCGGAAAACGTCGAAGGATCAAGGCGGGCCGCAACCCCACGCCGTGAACGCTCACGGATAGGAAAGCTCCCATAAAACGCCGGGAAGATGAACAGGATGCAGTGGACGTAGTCTGACGTAATGTAGTGTGGGAGCGGCGTAGTAGTAAGGGTCAATGCCCTCGTCCCCGACGATCACCGTTCCCCAACAACCCCGTGTAAAGGAAAGAACCCGGTACCGGGTTCCTGGGAAAATCTGACTTCACCCTATCACGTGTACAAATTCCACCGTAATTCATATGTACCCATTTAATCGTCTAAGTACTTTAAACACCTTCACTGCACTGAAAGAGTTAAAGAGGAGGTTAAGAAATCGCGGGGAACAAGTGAAAAAGATAGAAAATTGATGATTATGTGAATTCTTTTATTGAATAGATTATCGATAGTTCAGATTGATTTTCTGAATTATTAGTAAAAAAACAATTGTTTCGAAAGATTCACAACTTTTTAAATGCAGACTATATTGTATGAGATAAAATTCAATTTGATTCTACGGCAAACTCGTATCTTTTTTTCATCCTTATCTAAAGATAAAAAGGATGGGATTAACCCTCGAAAGTGTAGGAATATTTTTTTCTAAGTTCGATTCAGTGGTGGGCGTCCAACGATTAAGACGATCGGTAAAGTCGCGGTGGTAGTCTCTGGGCAACACGAAAATTCTCTGCTCTTTCACCGAAACGTGCTCGCAGGTGGGCGTACGTGCATGGATCGTAAAAAAAAATAATGTTAAGCGAAGAAGTGAGCCTTGAGAAAACTACGAATTTCGTGAAACCCTGTTCCACTCGTAAGGATCGAAGCCTAACTGAGCTCTCAGGTGATACCGTTAAACTGACTTCCGTCTGCCCACCTACCTACCTACCTACCTACTTTCGTCCTCGTACATCGTCCGGCACCGTCCACGCCGCGGCATTTCGCAATTCACGAACGAAGAGAATATCTCTCGAGCCAGGGGATCAAAATATTTGAACGAGTGGGACTTCACCACGCTAAATGCGTCCAAAAAAAATATTAAAGTAAGCAAGGAGGGGGGAGGCGCTCTTTTGCAACAAAGTGTCATCTGTAATTTGAGATTGAGAAGAATTTATGATCTCTTATTCGCTACTACTATCAATAAATATCCCGTTTTCAAGATTTCGGCTGTAAATTTGTTTGCGCCACGTTAATTTATTTATTCAGCGCCCATGCCCACGTTTAAAAGACTTTCCTAGCGTCATAGCTAGTCGCTAGTAAGAAGTAGTAAAACGAGATACTTACACGTAGTAAGTATTAATACAATTTCTTAAAGCAAAAGACTGGAACCAAATTTGATTGTAAGAATCAACTTTTTTCTTGCATATTGCAAAAGTACGAAAGGCGTTCCTGTATGAGTAACGCAACGGGTGTTAATAAAGTTGAACCGGAGATACAGTCGAAGTTTTCCACGGTTAGTCGCTGGTACCGGAGTATGTTGGTACCAGCAAGCGAGGAGTTCGCTTAGCTCGCTCGCGCGAGAATCCAGCATATAGAATAGGTCACACCCTCTGGGGACCATTATTGCCGAGCACTGTACTTGCACGTGACTTGTGTAGGGTCGAGACAAGTGGGTTGGTGCAGTCGTTACTGTTGTCCTCGGTACCCCCTGCTCGTTCAACGACCCCGCATGTACGCAATCTCCAGGCCGCGGCGGTATACGCATGCACGCATGCATGCACGTGACGACTATGGGAGGCTCGCTGGCGAACAGAGAACCGTGCGTAGGACTGTGACAAACGAAAAACTCCGAATCGGAGTGATATCGCTTCTTTTCATCGCGGAACATTTTTGAGGCACCGCATACGCGTGCTCGTCCTCAGACAATCGCCACACAGTGAATGTATACCGCGCTTCAACTATCAGCCGCGCGAGGAAACGCGAAGATTTAGAAAGGAATCAACCACCTATTGTGGAGAATGTATTGTAACGATGCGTGGTGTCGAGCACCGAATAGGATAGGAGGTCTCGGAATTCTCACGTGGATAATTCGAGCCCTTATAATCGTACAAACGAGTCATGAGACTTTCTATTATTGTGGTAGAGAATTCCTACAATCCGGTATTCAGTAGTCACACTCAACAATCCGGTACAATGTAGCCTTGACTACGATCGTGCTCTATTTATTTCTCTTATCGTTATATTTATGTTCTGAATTTTAATCAATTTTATGAATATATTTGAAAACTATTTTCCTCGTTTTTACCGGACACGGTCTGCAGGGAGTGTCTAACAATTAAATATGAAAATTTTAGTGTATCGAGGCGAAGCTCGAGAGAAGGGTTCAGGGACGAGTTGGAAAAATCGCGCCGACACTGGTCGGTGGTTGCGTGCGCCGTATTTATGGGCGCGCGTGTTAACTCGAATCGGCGAGAGGCAAAGCGGCGGGGTCACGTGGGCTAGACCAAGTGGGACCAAGGGTCACGCGAGGCAGGAAACGGTAGTATTGTATACCGGATGTCGTAACTTCCGAGTCCTTTGGCCTCGGTGTTTCCCTTCGCGACGCCCGGGCGTCGCACTGAATAGCGGCACGCGTGCCGGAGGGGAGAATAGATTTCTGTTTGGATCGGAAAAGTATTTGAAAATGCGACCGAATTGGGAAGAGACGTACTATGAGTGGCGGCTCGGCAAGAGCCCCCTAACGCGCCCTCCTCGAGAGATCAGCCGAGCGAGCAATAGAACGAGAGAGTGTGAGTGAGGTCGCGCAGTCGAGGTTTTCTGATAAGAGGGACAGAGAGAAAGGGAGAGAGAGAGACGGCGGCTTGGGAGGGAGGGACCGAAGAAAGAAGGGAGAGAAAGGGACGACAATGAGGGAGTGAGACGGAGAACGGCGCGCGCGATCACGAGGGGTGGAGGGAGGGTATAGTCGTCGTGAGCTCCTTACAGTGCATTGCCTTTACGATCCCTCGAGTGACTCGAGTCCCCGTCACACCCCGTGCCCCGACAAATCGCGTACGACGTGTCTCTCATGAAGAGATCCACGAAACCAGCTTCGCCGTCGAGCGATTCGGGTCGTCGAGATTCATCGAGAGGAAGAGTTTCTGTATGCGTGACAATGAACACGAAAGAGACACGCAACCGCGCGTGTATGCATGTTTAAGAGTGTGTGGGCTTATATCTCTGAGCACACACAGGGTATACCGCACCCCATGGGCTAGAGTCGATCTTCACTTGGAAGTAAAAGAGCCGATCTCCTGCGCGACGACGTTCTCCTTTCGTTCCCCTCGAGAACACTGAACTCGCGTCTACCGTCTACAGTGGAGACTTTCACCGGTATCTTGTACCGCGTTTCGAGGGTAACAAGATTATCGCGTCGGGCCTCACGCGATTCTCGATTTACATTTCTCGCTACGGAGGCACGATGAGATTCTTAAAAACTACTCGTTCAAATTTACCAAGGAATCCACACGCTTTCTGAAAGGATTCTGTACAAGATCTATGATACGCCTAAACGTTTTCCAGGAAACAGAAATCATGCGTCGAACCGTCGTAAATTATAAGAAAGATTGGGTAGCACCCCGGGACTCGTTCCAATACTATTGTTAAGATACCGAGTCGCGTACCGACCCCGAAAACGATTTACAAGTCGAAATGTTTTATAGCATCTAAAATAGGTTCTTCGAGTAGGAACTTTCGAAACAGCCACGTTTCACGGCGCACGAGCGCCTTCGCAAGAGGGGAGCACAAAGATGTATCCGTCCCCATCCCCACCACCCCCATTCACTCTATCTTGCTCGGCACGTTTCTCATCTCGGTGTCACGACAAATACGTCGCTTCCTTGTCGTCTTGCATCTAACATAATATATAGGTACAATGCATATTGTACGTATGTACATACATACATACGTAAATATGCGTATGCGTACTCGAATTCCAATTTTATTCTCCTTGCAACGCGTGCGTTGCGATAAGGAAAATTGACGAACTACAAGGAGCGGGTTACGTAGAAATAAACGCATGACTTATAAAAAAGATGCGACGTCCAGTGTTAGTCAAGCAGCACCGGTAGTACCGTAACTCGTGGAATCGCTGCCTGTCCTGTTTCACCTGTGCCTGCAGTTCACATCGGTTCACGCCCTTCTTCTTTCGCACCGCTCTCACTAACGGTTAATCGACGTCCACCACTTCTTGCTTTCGAAAGAAAATTGAACGCACAGCCAACGCCATCAGTTGGTTGTGTCGATCAACCAATTTTCCCGTCCTTCGTTTTCCCACGCCCCAGATAGTCCATGTGCAACCGGAGTTAAATACTTGTTATGAACTTTTGAATCAGCTTGTTTGGATATTTAAGAAGAAATGGCATTGCTATTCAATAAGTTAAAATTGAAACAGTTTGTCAAAACGTGCGTTCGATACGGTCACGGGAAGGATCACTGGGTTTGTATTTCTATAACCCCGCGGTTGAAACTTTCCTATTTCGTTTAGAATACATTGAAAACAATATACAATTTCTTTCATAGTCCAGAGTGAGGAAAAGAAAAACACCTAAGGATAAAGCATTGGAACATTTCGATGAGTTCTACGCAAACGTTTACGGGGACAGTTGGCCGGATATACGAGCAGCATTATTGAAGACAGAATCTAAATATATGGCTGTTGTTAATAATTTTAGTGATACTGAGAGAATACGATCTGAATTGGAGGTACATCATACTAAATGTTCTAAAATCATAAGGAAGAAATGTATATAAAATTCAGTAGAATGCTTTAGTCAATAGGTGCAATCAATTTGAAAGCTATGTATGATGTTCAAAAAGAAAATATAGAGTTTTTTAAGAAGAAAAGGGAAGCCAAAATGAATAACTCACAGGAAGAGTCAGCAGCTACCCCTGAAGATCAACTGGTAGAAATTAAAAAAATGTATCCCTCTAGCTATCCAAATTTGTTACAAGCAATAAAGACAGATGATGAACCTGTCAAACATGAGGGAAGAATACCTGTACCATTGCAGTCCATAGATAAAGACTTAAATGAAATTTCTCTAGATATGAACCGTATTATTGATCCAACAGTGAATTTATCTATACTTCATGAATATGTACCTGCTACAAAAATAAAAGGTTTGTTCAAACTGTATATTCGTTTATGTAAAATTTTACTCTGCATCTTAATAAATATATATTTTAGGATTGGAGGATTGGGCTTTGGAGTCTGATCACTATAAGTTTTATATCAAAGCAGATGATTTTCAAATAAATGTTGAAAAAGAAGATGTTCTACCTTTTCCAAAACATTTACATGCATATACATTTGAGAGAGAAAATAACACCAGATTCCCAAGTCCTAAGCATGGATCTACTGGCGTTCTAGGTTTGCATTCTTTTCCTTGCATTGGTTCTTTAACATTTTATAAACTGCTTGTTGAGCGTGCTATTAAAGGAAATGCTTTGTTCGATAGATTATTATCTATTTGATGGCGCATCTATACTTCCTGTATTGGCTCTGGATATTCAACTAGGTGATAGAGTACTTGATATGTGTGCTGCACCCGGAGGAAAAGCTTTGGCTATTCTTCAAACTCTCATGCCTCATATACTAGTCGCTAATGACATCCAGGAGTCTAGAGTGAATAGGATAAAAAAAGTTATAAGCCAATACGTTTCTGATGTTTACAAAACGGAGGATTTATTTATTGTAACTGAACGAGATGCTAGGTGGATTGATGAGACCGATACATATAATAAGGTATAATTTAGTTTTTATACAGTATCATTTGATGCTTAGCAGATTTTGAAATATACCGAAAATGTTAAAACTTGTACTTATCAATTTTCTTAGATTTTAGTTGATGTACCATGTACAACGGACAGACATATTTTACATGCGGAGGATAACAATATCTTCAAACCATCCAGAATTAAAGAAAGATTGAGATTACCGGAAATTCAATCGGATATTTTAGCGTTAGTATATAAGTACCTGTCACTGATATGATTTATTTTTTTAGATTAATTAATTCTAACTTTTTGTGTAGAAATGCATTAAAAATAGTGGCATTAGGTGGTACAGTCGTTTATGCGACATGTTCCCTTAGTCCCGTACAGAATGATGGTGTTGTACAAGTAGCACTAAAAAAAGCCTGGCAAGAAAACAATGCTGTTATGGTCGTAAAGTATGTAACATATATTTCCTTGTAAATATACTTTGTGCAATGACGCATCATACGTATTTGTAGGGATATGACGGAGGCATTATTACCCTTGCAAACCATCTACGAATTTGCTGCGGGTCGTATGAAGTATGGTCATATTGTTATTCCTAGTCTGAAGAATAATTGGGGACCAATGTACTTTTGTAAAATAGTAAAACTAGAATAAAGATGAATGATTGTAAGTAAGACTATATTAAATGATTTGTACTTATAATGTAAATATTCTTATGATTAGACATGTATAATGTATTACTTTTAAAGCAGTGATATTTTATACATTCGTGAAATTTGTACATAAAAATTTGTAACTATTAGGTGTACAATTTTACCGTATCGAAATAAATAGATCGTAGATATCATACAATAAGCTTAGGCATTTGTAAACATAACACCATCGAAATATTAATCGATTTGTGTATGCATCATAAAGCTCGGCATAGTGTATTATAAGTACTAAAACCGACTGAAACAATTCAAAAACATCACAGGCGATTGGTATCGAAAGCAATTGATGCCTTTGAGCCGAGCATCGAAAGATAAACGACCGCAATACAACGATAGACGCGATAAAGTGATTTTGCAGTATGACAACGCTCGGCCAGATGTTGCAAAACAGATCAAAACATGCTTAGAAGCGGAGTTCGTATGCTGCCCGAAAGATGGGAGAAAGTAGTGGTCAGCGGTGGACAATACTTTGAATCGTAAATTTATAACCACTTTCTCACAATGAAGCTTCAAATTTCGAAAAAAAGAACGACAGAAGCAAAGTTGTACACCTAATATAGTTCACTCTTATTATAGTATAATAAATTATATAAATGTTTAAATAATCTTCTTATATGAGAGAATTAAAAAAAGTTATTAAACCGTTCATTTCTTAGTCATTTCTTAGCGGTAACGTTTGATCGCTCGCTTCTTCATCATGCGTTTTAGGCTTGTTCCAAGGCTGTTCCTTTCCGCTTCCAAAAATAGTATAAACTACCATTTCCACTATATACAAGGCAACGGTTACGAAAAATATAATCCTCCACGCTTCTATAGTTTGCTGCAAAAATGAATAAATTAATCAACATATTGATTAATATATTCACCAAACATTTTTAAGCATCATCATATATGTACATACATTTCCATGTGTTAGTTTTCCAACAAATATCGGTACCACAAATCCAGGTATAGTAGCAACACAATTCGTAATGGCAACAAGGGTACCAGCGAAATTTGGTGCGATGTCGATATGGTTTGCTAAGAATCCACAATACATCCCACCAATACAAGTTACTCCAATAGTCATTAATGCAACGGCTAGTGAACGGTTGCAACCGACGTATGATACTCCTATCAAACAAATCATAGGGACAGCAGATGCTGAAATAAAAGAAATTATCGACTTTTAGTCTATCCCGTTTTTTGAATGCGTGTATAGTAACACTAAACTTACAAAACAATGTTCCAATTTTCCTTGAGACAGTTACAGTAATCAGTTCTTTGTCCTGCATGACTGCTAATATCTTACTGAGAACCATAGTGAAAAACCACATGCATAAGAATGGCATAGAAGAAAGACCGGCATTCTGCGGAAAAATAATTAGCGATATTGTAAAATTATTTTCAATCCGACTCTAAGCTATGATACTTACGGAGCTCATATCGAACTTCAATATTTGATTCATAAAAGTAGGCAGCTCGATAAGCAACATGTACCACCCGAAATTACTGCAGAAATGGGCGATCAAAATTGCCATAAATGGTTTAGATCGTAACACTTCACCCCACGGAACTGGTAATCTCTAATAAAAATTAAAATATATATATATGCACACTCATCTACGAAATACAATATAAGATGTGAAATACAAACCACTTTATGTTCGCTATTATTTTTATTCTGTCCCAAAGATTCCATGATATAATTTTTCTCATCTTGACTAATGAACCTTGTTTGTTCTTCTGGACTGTCCGCGATCATCAGCCACCAGGCTGTGCACCAAATTAGACAAAGCGCGCCTTCGATATAGAATATCCATACCCATTCAAGATTCGCAGCCAATAATCCCGTTAAAAGAATAGAGATCACGGTGCCGAGCGCAGTTCCTGTAAAAGATAAGATTAATCAAAACGAAAATAACTCTATTTATATTTCGACGTTTTTATCGAGATGTGCGCTATTAGAAATTTTTTATTCTTTCTGATTAATCGACATAAATGCATTATTTTTATTAATAAAAGCTTGACCACAAATAAATAACAATGTAATATGGAAAATAAACAGAATTTCGGATGATTAAAATTATACCTGCATATACGATCGACGCGATGACGCTTCTTTCGTTCGGTGGTGCCCACTTAGCGATCATAACGTGCATTGCCGGAAATGTTACACCCTATAATTTATATTGCTACAATCCATACACGCATAGTTCCAATAATTTTGAATATTAGAAATTTGCTACTCACACCCCCGATTCCTTGAATGAATCTCATCACGATAAAAACTGAGTAATGCGTTTGCGCGGCAACAGGTGATAACACGGATGCTATAACGTTTAAAAGTACCGATACGTTCATCACCCATTTCGCCGATAAAAGTTCGGACATTCTTCCACCCGGGAGCAAAGATACCATGTATCCCCAGAAATAAGCTGATAAAATGAGACCCTGCAAAGGTTCGTTCCACACGAACGGGCCATCCTGTGTAAATAAATACTACTTAATAAAAAAAAATATTTCCTATAACAATTTCTTACATTTAATGCGCAAAAATTCTTGGAATATCTAATAAGTAGTAATCTAATAAGTGAATCAAAATTTTTAATGATTTAATTTTTATCTTATCGTATGTATATCGTGACTCGTATTAGTACATGAAGTTTGGTATATCCATTTTGTAGAACCCTCCGATAATTTCTTTATCAATTTGAAATTGATAACACCAGAATTTATAAGTATACTACTTTTACATACTTCAATGATTGCTTTCGACGCCTTGGAACCATCCTGGTAACACTCGTTCACAGCAATTATTTTGGTTGCATTTTCCGTTTCCAATTTATGTACTGTTGATAATTTTACTGCAGTATGATTCACCATGGCTACAATAGCCACGCTCACGTTTACCTTGAACCCGTAGATGATGGCGAGTCCGATAGAACCCATTATCGCCATCAAGTATCGTATGGGGAACATAATGCGTTTTGTTTCTGCATAATTTGATAAAACAATGCATTGACTATTTACAAATAAATTAATAACTTTGTAGATATCTTGATAGATAGTTTGATGACGTTTTTGAAGAAGATCATGAATGCCGCTACAGAGGTACGTGCGGTTTGGCATGAAACGAAGGTGAACTCAGGTGAAGGTGCTCTCACGCAAGTATTCGAGTTCATCCTTCATTCAGCCGCTGTACGATCCTGAGATCACGTACACACGAAAATGATAATGTTTACAAGAATTTTTAGTAGATCTGGTCGAAACTGAATATGAAATTATAAAAATTTACAAATTTGAACATAAAGGCGATAGAAAAAAGCGTTTGATCCAATGTATCAAATTCCTTTTTTATTTGTTTCGTCATTCGAATACTAATATATTTTTAATACACGCATTTATTTTCAGTTCAGATGTAGGTCAACAAACGTATAAAGTGAAATTCCAGAATACGATCTTTTGCATATTTGTTAAGCTGATCGTAAACGCAAGTGTTTTTGATGTAGGATAAAAGCAATTTAATATTAATTGATGAATATAATTTGTACAATAAACGAATGTACTTATTTCTTGATAAACTGTTAATGGCGCGTGATAATATACAGGTGAATGAATTTGTACATTTATCGAAAGATGAGAGTTTGAAGTACGTCCTCGCTAATGTGTTGAATGTACATACATACAAATAGCAGTAACGACTATTGCCTTGAGTTGCATCAACCGTGCGTTAGAAACCGCGCGCTTTTGCGAACTTATTATCATCTTACACTCAACTTACATCATGCACATAATTTCTCTATTTTTCTCAAAAAAATTAACAACGTAGTGCTTATTTTCTAATTTATGTTACATTTGTAATGTCACTTTACATTCAACGTTGAATTATGAGTCGGAGTGTTTAACATATGTCGTGTTAGAATCTGGACCAGAGGACATTTCAAGGTCACAGGGGTGATGCTGTGTTATCGGAGAGGGCACTTTTTCGGATTTGAAACCAATAAACACTAAGCTATTTTTTAAAAAATAGGTAATGTAAAATAGTTTACTGTCTTCGATATGTTAAAAACTAAGGGTTGTAATTACTCACCTTTGGTACTGTCTCTCCTAATTATTTATCTTGAGGCAAGAATTGATCTCTGGAATATTTTCAGTATCTATGTACGTAACACTTTGTGAAAAGTATTTTAATATTTTGCAAGTATAAATTTAATGTGCATTATTAAGTTTGTATTTAACGAACAATCATTTATTTTCTTTTAATTTTATTCTACTGGAATTTTGTAAGGAACACAGTACAATTCACTTTACGGATGCTTGTTTAATTTTAACCGGTTACGGGTATGATTCGATGAAATGTTTAAATTAAGAATCGTCGTTCCTTCCTGGTCGATTCCTCGTGCGTACAACGTATGACTGGGAGTGAACACGATGCCTCAGATCCTCGAAACCTTCCGGAGGAGTACCGGGCGTGCGCTTTTTCTATAAATGCCGTACTAGCGTGCGTGAACGCAGACTCGAATTCGGTCGGAGTCTTTGAACACTTCGGCTGCGGCCGCTGTGACGCGCTCGTATGTTTGTACGAAACCCACTCATTGATTCTCAGAAATTTACCTCCCGTCGTTGCATTAAAATAAAGCATTCCACGTTTTTTGATTCTCAAATTAAACTTAATGGACTTGACGGAATATAGGATATATAAAAGAAGAAAATAATTTAAGTAGTATAAGTCAGTAATATAGTTAATATTATAAGTATTGTATATAATTATTCTTACTATAGATGCAACAGGCGAGACTTTCGGCTTTCTCGCGTTTACCGTTATTCTGATGCACCGAACAGATGCTAGTAAAATATAGTTTAAATATTTTTGAAGGCAATGAAGTTGCATTTGTAAGACGAAACACGTTTCGTCACTTTATTAAAAATATATATGCATACTTCAATTTAATTAAAATTTGCAAGCTACCAGGATGTAACAAAAATATAACGATGACATTCGTAAATTTTGATGTATAAAGAAGTCACTTTTGGATTTAACTGTTGTATATGAAATAGAAAGATGAGCGTAGATTTGGAATCTACCAGCAATGTTGATGAAATATATGCCTGGATCGAGCAAATACAATTTTCTAAGCCGAAAAAAAATCTTGCTCGGGATTTCTCCGATGGCGGTACGAGATAAAATATTCTTATCATATATCAAACGATTAAAATATACGTTTATAATACGATAAAGATTTAAAATGATTCTAGTTTTCATGGCCGAATTATTAAAACGATATTATCCCAGATACGTCGATATACATAATTATATTCCGGGAAATAGTGTCGCCAAGAAGATAGACAACTGGTCCACATTGAACCGCAAGGTATTTTCAAAGCTTGACATGAAATTAGGGAAGGACGTGATCAATCAATTAGCGAATTCGCAACCGGGTACAATTGAAAAGCTTTTAGTTGACCTGCGTTCAAAAATTTTGAAAGACTGCAACGCGGACAGGAATTCTTTGTACTCAGAATACGAGGAACACGAGAAAAAGGGTAAGCAATTAATTAAAGTAAATATACAGATTGAAGAAATTAACAAAAATATTTTGGACATTTTTTAACTTAAGAAGAAGTTGTTAAGTCTGTGCTTAATCCCGAGGAGGTAGCGAACAAAACTGTTCCACGTCACGTTTTCGTTAAATTGAAACAAGAATTGCAAGAAAAAAATGACGTAATAAATACATTGCATCAAAAAGTGTCCCACCTCGAATCTTTGATGAAGTTGAAAGAACAAAGAATCGCAGATCTTACATCGCAAATAATAAAATCTACAGAGCAAAGCATTACACCGAGATCTGGGAATTTATCTTCCACAATCAGTCAAATATCGAAACTTCAAATGAAAAGCTAGTGCATTAGAATTAAAAGAAATATCACGCATATCTTAAACGATTCTACTACTCAAAAATTTGTATCATTTATAAACTTGTAAGTGATCTTCCATTTTAATACAGTGTACTGATTTAACTTTTAATAGAATTTAATCTATTGTATCATTAGTTTTCATAGTACAACTGTTGAATGCTGATGTATCAGAAAATTTATATTAATGTAGGACTGAAATTTATGTTATTTATTTCTTATATTTAAATTAGTTACATATATATTTTATATTGGAGCTCTCATGCTAGGTGGAGAAACCAAAATTACTCCATCCCCACGAACAAAGAGCATTGAAATATTTCTTTTGGTCGTACGATAAACTTCCTCATATGTTTCTTCATCAATTTCTACTGTTGTTACTGTTTCTTCTGCTTCACCCAGTACCATATTTAAATGTTGATCATAAGCCTGTAATAATTTTTGTATAATCATTAAATCATAGGTATATCAAGAAATATGTAAAGTAAGAATTTACATGTAATCTTCCCCTCAATTCCCTCTCATTTCTCATTTTAACATATATCCTCTCATCAAGACTTAGTCTTATAAGGTCCAATGGTTCTTTAACATTTATTGCTGGTACCTGAAGTAACAAAACAAATATTTACGTATATCTTTTAATTACAGTAGGTTAGATTTTGATATAGAAGTTTAAATGAAGCGTTTCTTACCTGCTCGGTCTCATCAGCCATGATACAATTAAATTTTTAATGCTCAACAGATTATTTTCAGTTGCTTAAAATTGCGTCAACAATTGTTAACGTTCGAACGATTATAAACAATACATTCACTTGATTGTTCCCACTTAACCACTGCGCGGCATCATTCGGATAAACCGGCTACGGTAATGTCATCGTTTGGTCACTCTCCAATAAGTGGCGCTACATATTCCTTAACGAGACAGGAAGGTATTGTAACTTTATTTGAAATCTGCCAAAGTTATGCACATTTATTGACAAGAACAAAGATTTCAATTCTCTGATTAAATTCGTTGATTCTGCGTATTGTTTACAGGAACCAGCATGCACTCAAATTGGATTAATTGTTACGTTCTTATAACGGTTGAATTCTCCCGCGTTGACTTCTTGGTTCTGTCGTTTGGTTGAGGCGCTAGCGATCGTCGATGGAAATCAGCGCAGCTCGAGGTATTGCTAGAGTGGATTGTGAACTCAGTGGATGAGTGCGAGGGAGCGAGCAACGCCATTTTCTCGATTCGCGGGTGAAGACTGTGCGCGGTGTGTGAATCGTTTCGTTCATATTATTTACCACGTTTTCGCCTAACGACGTAGAGATCACGGGCTGTCTATCAGCCCTGGTGCATTGATCAGTGTTATGCGTGGACACGCGGCCAGCTGTATGGTGGATATGGTGAGTTCGCTTCGATCTAACTAAGCGCTCCCGGGAGACGTGACGTCTTGTCAGTCGGCCTTTTCCCATTCCCCTTTCTCGACGAGCTCCCGCAGGGATGGGTCGCGTAGAGTTATCATGCACGATAACGTAACCACAGGAAACGGTTAACCCATCGTTCGCGAGATCCTCGATTTCCATCGCGTAATAAAACAAAAGAATGAGTCCCGGTGGAACCGGGAGATCCGTAGAATGAGTCGTTCGGGCCAATGGGCGGAGGTTTAGGGCGGCACATGGCTGTTGGGGCGCCGGCTGTGCAGGGGGTGGTTTTTCCGATGCTAGCTCGAAAATTCGCCGTGTCCATCAGTCACGATGCTTTGTGCGTATGTATCCTCGTATTGAGAACGCGTGTAACTGCGCCCAGTCACGGTTCAGATAACAAGTTCTCAGTGACAGTGGAAAGCGAAGCACGCTACTATTCCGTTATACTACGTATGCATGTATGTCTCGATTTTCTTGCCAAAGAGAAGCTGCCGGAGGCTTGTCACAGATTGCACGCATCTTCCTTGTGCGGTAGTGTAGATATGTACGTATGTAATGTTATTGTCGCCTCGCGCGAAGTGAAGTTACGAAGGGATCAACATCCGTGATCAACAGATAATAGTTGAAAGTGCGATTCGTTATGTTGCTGCCGAATCAGAGCCAACGGAGCGACATAAGCTTTCCTTTTCACATTTGCTTCCGCGTAATTCGTAACACCGCGTTACCTATTTAATCTGACCTTCCGCGACGATTTATCAATGGACCGTTAGATCGTACGGAACGTACATATATGCGTCAGCGTTATCGATCGATTCTTGTTAACACGCTGCGTAAGTACTTCGATATCATTCGTACTCTTATTCTGTAAGACAAGGTACCAGTTTCTTTTCGTACACAATAAGATTATTGAATTTTTTAGATTAGCACTCTCATTAAGTACGTTTTTGGAAACTTATTTGCATTTCAAGACTAATAAGAACAAATTCGTCTGTACTAATTTCATGATTTCGTCTTCTAAGTGTCGGAATGTTACGTGGCGTTTGATGATTAAAATTCGCCGTGACATTCATGCGCCAATTAACTCACCCGGCTTTTTGACCTTGCTGACATTTTAAATATTCTCTGCCCTTCTGAGGTATCCAATAGCTAACTTCGCCCATATTTACTCTGGTCGGTTAGGACGCTAATCTTGGATTATCTTTTTCCGATAGGTAACAAGAGCGTATCGCCCTCGCACATTTAAGGACATTATAGACAATGTTAAAACACCTTTGAAAAAATAATCTACGATGGGATAACTAGTATTATCCATTCATTGAACATTTAAATTATACTATATGAATGATAATAAAAATAACACGAAATCAGATGGATGATTCTGCTTCTTTCACGAGTTTTGTACTCTTTGAAAATTAATGCTGCAAAAGCATCGTATCCTGTAATTAACGAAGGAGCTGACCGTCATTTACGCGTTGTATATTTTCAAAGATAATCGTCGTTCGTTTGCATTTTTTCGTTGCTTCATCATTCCAAGACATTTGTATTTTACCACGACGATACTTTACGATGCGAACATTTTATAATATTACACCGCGGGTACATGATTGACTGGCTTAATTAGGGGCCGAGGCAAGCTGGTTACATCGAGATCAATTGACTAATTTTGGAGAAATGATTAAGTTAAATACATACACTTACTTCTTAAATGGTCTATAGTATTAAAAATGATTTTTATTATAGACTTATTTTATACAGAAAACTCATGAACAAATATGTTTCTCGTATTGAAGTCCTAGGAAACTTCTACGCAAAAAATAACGATTATTCTATAATGCATTGTGTGAAGCCATCGCACGTACCCACACGGACACGTGTACGGACACGCGACGTGTGCGGGAAAGAACGAATTCAAAATAACCGTGTATGTTTTATGGGTGGAGTAGTGTCGAGATATTTCTTTATTCATGAGCGCAAACGCCGAACCGACACGACATACATTAAACCCTTGAAATCGTCGCGCCACCAAAGTACATCGACTGAGTATGTTTTTAATGCTCACCGCTCTATATTGAAACGTGTCGTGCGGGAAAACGAATTATGAATTTATGCGCACGAATAAACGCTTCCACGGTGTTGTCTATTTATCTTTATTCAACATAGAAGTCATTGTGTATAATACTTCTTTTCTAATCTGCGACACTATTTCCCATAACGTGTTAGACAGTTTGATGTTAAAAGAGCACTAAAGAATTTCACCGAAGTGATTGGTTGTCATGCGGTGATATAACTCTTACTTTCTACTAAAGATGATCTATCATGAAATGTTATTTTGCATATTCATGTCTTATACATAGTTGGTAACGAGTAATTATGCTTGCACTGCGACTATTAGGCGTTCCTATTTCCTAAACATTAATTCTTTTAATTCGTATCATAAATTCATAATTACCATATTACTATTTTAAAGAAAAAGTGATATTGGTATCTTCTTTGATATGTAAGGTCATGGATTTATAAGTGCGGTAAGCAGGACGTAGACAATCTTATCAGTAGTAAAACGCACATGTTTCCCTCCGTCAGAAATTCGTGCAATGCGAGTGGAGAGTTCAAACAGGTGCGCGGTACGATGCGAATGTTGACCCTTGACTGTTTACGACATAACGGTGTACCAGTGAATGGTAGAATGTTAGGATAGTTGTGAGCGATCATCTTCGGTATCTGATGCGCGATATTACGCCGTCACGGCCGCCTACTTTCTATTTTTTTATTTTTTTTGCCCGAGTAAAACCGTATCGTTGTACGGCACATTGTGGCGAGTTCATCTGTGCTTTTGCCAAAGAGATGGAATGTGGCAGAAGAAACGAGGACAACTTAGCTCCAGGCTGTCACAATCGTGCATCGAGTGTCGTTGCACAATCCCGACACGTTTGCATCGCGGCTCGTTTGCTGCCACTTTCGAACGCCGCGGGAACAGCTTTGAAACGCTTCAGTTAAACTTGATAGATTCGATGCCAACGGTTGGATAGTTAAACCGCAATAAAGTGTTTTTCAGATTCGATTGTCGATGCTCTGGAACGCAGAGTATTACATATCCTCTCTATGAAATCCACGAATGTGTGATTCGGTTAATTCATATCTGCTAAATGTCACAATGATTGCGCATTTTTTTTTATCAGTTAATGTAATTCAATTTATTACAAGCATTTCTATAAATCATGCTATTCTTTCATGTTCAAAGTTTACTTAGATACATACATAAACTTTACCGTTCAGTAATGACGTGTTCGTGAATCTTTAAGTGTGATTAACTGGTAGGTACACAACGTACACATTTGACGATAAGTCGTGTAAAACATATGTACTTTTCCAAGGATTATACATATATAATATTGAAATATGAGTGGCATAGGTCGCTGACTTACGACGCGTTTATTATGCTTAGATAATGCTT